CATAATTTGATGGTGTCCTGAGTATTTAAACCAGGCTGTTGGACACATCCCAAATGGTGTCTTGACCAATTAGATAATGTCTTTGCTTGGGGTGTTGTATGTTTCTACTCCCAATACATAAATCACACGTTATCTTATCAGTCACATGGTCTGAATTTTCCCACTCTTGCAGGGTACAATTTGGACATGATTTCTATAACCAGAATATAATATATTTTACAAAGTATTGATTGATAGAAACGTTTAAAGCATGAATTTTCAAACTCATACATACCCAACATGAATATAATCCTATAAACTATTCAATAGTTATTCAAAATACATACACAATAAGTGATTAGGACATGATAGTCAAATGTGTAGGTTACATACATGATATAGAGTTATGCATAGAAATGATTAGTTGCTCATAAGTCCTTTTAGCGTCATTTAGGTGCATATATGCATGGAAAGGCAGTTTCTGTGCCCTTCTGTGAAGTAAGAATGTGTTCTGTGAAGACCAACGAGGTTAAAAGGTCTCATAAGGAATTTCAGTCTGGTTTGTCCTCTAGGTGGGGGAAACCAGTCCGAGGAAGTATGTAGCTCATGATTTCTATCATGGATTTACATATGTGATAGTCAGGCTGTGCATCTGTTTGACCATTAATCTTGGTTATTCGCCCCAAATTTGACAATCTCCTTTCTGAGTTGGAATTGTCAATAAGTGTTCTTTTGTTTAATGTTGAAAGCTTTTTGAAGCTGGCGCCAGGATCTGATTTACGAACATTCTCTTGTCTTGGGCCTGTTTGTGGAATTCGGTTCTTTGGGTTGTTCAACACCAATCTGATCAAATCTTAAATTGTCTGATTCGCTCTGATACCCTACAGGGAGGAACTGGAGTGGACAGCGCCTTGGAAGGATCTGGGGCTTCATTTATAAAATGTTGCTCAGAAACCAACTTAAATTTGATCTTACGGTCATCTCTCAAATATGCATATGTGTGATCCATAGAATGAATGTACACACAGAAAACCCACGTACGCCTCTCTTTCAGATGTGAAATCTATGAATCGCAAATTATCTTGAACTTGCGAGCAACTGAATGGTTTCAGCTCTCAGCCTTGTAAATGACTCCTAATTAATGTCATTAACATATAAAAGATCACCAGTCATGGTCCAAATCGTTTAATTTACAACAGCGATTTTTTTATTTAATTTCCAAAAACCTGCAGTACCCCGACAAGAAAAAGTGTGTATCTGGCACAGACCCAGATGTGACGTTAAGCACTTTTCCATGTCAAACGCAGTTTTTACCAGTATGAGCATTGGAATGGATTTAAGCGCATGCACACTCCAAGATCAAATCTGTGCATACACACACTTTATAAATGAGGCCCATGGAGCAGACGCCACGCCGTGATGTCCGGAAACACTTGGAGTGGCGTCCCTGATGGCTGATGACTCTGGCGTGGCATCCATGATTCCTGGAGACTCTGGCATGGTGGCCATGATGGCTGAGGACTCATGCTGCCATTGCAGAGTCTCATCCCGTCATGGCTGCTACAACGGGATGAGACTCGGAAGGAATCGGAGGAATGGAGACCATGTCATGACATGGCTCTAAGTGGCAGTCAAGTGGAGTCTCTGACATGGAAGTCATTACAAACCCTAGGCTCGCAACCCTCAGTGTAGGGCATGCTGGAATATTCGGTCAGTCAAGCTCCTTGGCCACCGGAGCTGTCTTTGTTAAATCCACTGGAAGGATTCTCTTGAAATTCCACAAGTAGTTGGTCATTGTGATCACACTGCTATTTGAGGTATCCACTGCATTTTTGGCCAAATGAGGATGCTCATGGAACATCCATCATTTATGTTCAAATGTATCTATGAACACAACTTAATTTGTTTTTGAAGTGGAATAAGGGAATGGACATCTAATGGACATCTGGTCATACACAACAAAACTGTTTAAAATAAAATAATAATAAACCAGAAATCATGGTAAACCCGTGTTAAACAATGGTTACATCAGAAAAAGATAATGTACTTACACTGATAATGAGTATGAGTCTATCATCACTGACTCCAACATACTGATGTCGGTGTTTCTTGAAAGGCCAATTGGGGGAGGGGTGGCAATACTGACTGCCTGCAACCTGTGGATGGGGGCTGTGGGGAGGTTGTTTTGACATTTTGCACCACACCATGCATATCAGGGAAACAGTCGATCTGATTTGTGTTATATGTGTATTCAAAAAAGAAATTGTGACAACTTACATGATTTTCTGAACATCTCTCAACCCCCCTCTCAACCATTAGATGAAAGTCTGCCTGTTGCATGAGTGCTATGTTTAAGACATGGTGTAAAACTAAATGAACTTGTGGCCACGATTACACTAAAACTAAAATTAAGGAATACCTCAATCAAAGGTGGCCACAAATTAATAAGTCGTTGAAATTAATTCTTAATTTTGTATCCATGTTATGTATCTTTTCCCTGCATATCATGTGCAGGGCTACAAAGTTGGCAACATGTCAGATGAGGCACTTAGATATAGCCAAGGTGAATTTTTGATAATTATTATTTTTTTTTTTCAATTCTGGAACAGTAGCTTTCAATTCAAGGTTTGTATACGTTCTTGCTGGGGTGTAAACAAACAACATTTACAAACAAATTCTAAATTTATCATGAATGCTACTAGCAAGTGACAGTCGTATCTGGAAGTCACAAATAGTCAAAAGGCAGCATTAATCGGTGTTTGTGTGTGATGTACCAACAAAAGAGTGAAATTTCAGCAGTCAATAGATGAGCCACCCCTGACCATAATCAGGTGTCGAGGACGTAATCATAGCACTTTGAGCTACTTTTTCTTTGAGGCTCTTCACCCTAACATAACACTCTAGAAACATACCTAATGCAAAGAACAATTCCTGTGTTGTTAGTGTTAGACTTGTTGTTAGACTTCTTTTATAGGCTCTTTTAAGATTTAAGAACAATTTTCATTACATTATGTATTTAAAAAAAACTATTTGGATGTTAAATTGCAGTTTAAGGTAAGCTTTTTTCTTCCTCTCTCTCACTACAGCTCCTGTTTTCTACAGCTTGTGCCCTCTGCTGCTGACGTGAAAGATGAGTTTGTGTGGCAGGAAGGCACTGACACTCCTTAGCAGTGTGTTTGCTGTGTGTAGTCTGGGACTGCTGGGTATTGCTGTCAGCACTGACTACTGGCTCTACCTGGAGGAGGGGGTCATCTTGCCTCTCAATCAGAGCACTGAAATCCGTATGTCTCTCCATTCAGGGCTCTGGAGGGTCTGTTTTCTTGCAGGTGAGTGAGTGTCTGCGTGTCAATATATGCACTTTCTGTGAGACACTGCCACTTGTTAGTCCTTAAGGTGTGCATATAACACCTTCGTTTACATATGCAACCTTGGTTCCCTGAATAGGGAGGAACGAGACACTGCAGTAGCTGATGTTATGGGAACACCCCCAGGTATGACGATTGTCTGAAGCCTGTATAAAACATGCCAGTTTATTAGCTGTGGTGCTAACGCCAGGAAGAAAGCAAAAACCAAGCAGCATGGCCAGATATGCAGCATCTTGTTCACTACTCAGAGAACCACTGTGACAAACAATATGTAACCAAGACATTCCTGAAAACCTTACAAACCCTACTTCACCAATATATTAGAGGATGTTAAGGCCATCAACAGAACAACCGTAAGACCACAGATAGGTAGTGTTTCAATAATGAATGAAAACATAATGAAAATGCCTCATCCATCTTGTCTCATGCATAAAACATGAGACAAGTGAATGTCCACCCAAACAAACATTCCAAACCAGCATGTGCTCTTCAAATTGCTGCCACATTCAACTTATGTGTGGACGGGGCTGTGCCCAAAGAAACACAAGAACTTGCAAGAACTACTGAACCACCCGAGTAGTAAACTGGGTCCAAATTTCAGTACTTGCACCAGGACACAAATAGTCTCCACTACAGGTCGGCCTTGTCCTATGTCTCGCAAAGAGGTTCCTCCAGTAGAGATACCAGATCTGAGAACCAATGTCAGGATGGCCATTGTGGTGCCACTAACAGATGATGAACTCTGTATTCCCGTACTGTTGCCAAGACTCTAGTTTAATTGGTGGAAAGGCATATAATTGTGTGCTTGACCACATGTGAACTAAGCATCCAAGAAGCCCGGGAGGTGGTCCACAGGTTCATTTCTGCCCTGCTGAACTGCTGCCAATTTAGACTCAAAGACTTAGGGTGCAGCCTCCAATCTCTGGACCATAGGCCATTCCTCAAGAGGAAATCCATTCTCAGATTTTTCAGTTCTGGAATCTACACCGCTTTAAGGGACATAAACTTGTCCTGAGGTGAAAGAAGAATGTGCCGCACCAACCTTCACAATGGGGTGCAAACGAACTCCTTCTTTGCCGATTTAGGTAGGAAACTAACATTATGTTGTCTGTCCTGATGACAACATGGCAGTTTTAAAGTATTTGAAAAAAAAAGACAGAAACATAGCCAGCATCTCTAGGCAATTTATGTGCAATGGCGGATGCCCATCCTTTCAGACTCCATAGACTGGGCAACCTTCATAGACCACTCCCCAACCTACCAGGCCGGCATTTATCATAATTGCTTTGTGACAACAGACTTATCCTCAACCCCAGACCTTACAAATGAGAATAGAGTCTGAACACTGACATGCTACTTCCACGGACTGTGCTAAAATCAGTCAATCGTCAAGGTAGTTTAGTACACGGATGCTCCAGAGTCTCAGCAGGGCCAGAGCAACAACCATGCACTTTAAAAATATGCAAGGTGCTAAGGCTATGGAAATACTTGAAATTAGTATGTCTTGCCACCAAAAGCAAACCTGAGAAACTTCCTGTGTCTCTGAAAAATATGAATGTGGAAAGAAGCATCCTTCAGATCTATTGTGACAAACCAGCTAAAGTGAGAATGGCTTGGGGAGATATTTGGGGTGATACTGAAAAGGGTTACACACAAGAAAAATGAAGGTTAATGGTGGTGCACATGCTAATATATCTCTTAAAGTCAATGTTCCGCTAGCTAAATTTAAACAACATGATTAGGGCCAGGGTTTCTCACCTGCCCACAGTTGTTGATGAAATATCTTGATTTTGAGAGTAACATTTGCCAGACTGAAAATTGTTAGATAACTTATATCGCACAGACTGTCATAAGTGATCAAATATAATACATCCCTGTGTATCAGCCTGTACTTTGTGTTATCCAACCTTTAAATTCTGTTTTTGAAACAAGGATTCCTCTGTACTATCTTTGGTCTAAAATCCAGTCCTTTCACTAACTAATCTTTCAATACTGTACAGTCTTGCAGCAGATTCTGTTCCTCTTCCTGTTTCACCCTGTATTGCCCTTACCTCACAAATAGTATACTGGAATGTTTTATAACTTAAGTAATGGGACTTTGTAGATATACAGGCAACAAATGATTTCAATTCCTCTTCCATTTAGAGTCACCAGCTCCAGCTACAGTGTTACCAACTGGTGAATCAGGTATCTTCCCTTCTCTCACCTCCCTCTTTCTCTCTTTCCTAAGATTTCTTGATTTTTTTGAAAGACATTTATACTTTTATTAAGTAAGGACACAATAAATTCATCAAAATTGTCAGTAAAGACATTTAAAATGTTACAGAAGATTTATATTTTAAATAAGTGCTTCATTGATGTTTTGGGGGAAAAAAATCATGGTTTCCACAAAAAAAAAAAGACTGATAATAATTATGTTTCTTGAGCACCAAGTCAGCATATTAGGAAGGATCCCATATTTTTGAAGGATCATGTGACACTGATGACTGGAGTGATGAAAATTCAGCTTTACAATTTCACCCTCAGCTAAATTAGATTTAAAATAATATATTAAAATACAAAAATAGCTATTTTACTTTTTAACAATATTTCACAATATTAAAGTTTTTACTGCATTTTTTTTTAAAATCAAATTAAATGTAGCCTTGGAGATAATTAGATACTTATTTCAAACATATTGTTAAAATTTTACAGATCCCAAACTTTCGAATGGTAATGTATTTAACTGATATAATTATTATTGCAGTGAATATTATGCTTGTCATTCTTAAAATCACTTAATTCTGTTCCATTAGATCTTGAAATACATACGTTGTGAGAGTTATTCTTAATGGATTATATAACAGCATTTTGCACTGGGGTCACATCCATATAGGTCCAAATGGTTCTGGACAAGTATACGTTATTGAGTGGCCTTGTTACTAAAAACCCTACAAAGTAAAACGTTTGACCTACAAACCTTTGCACTCACCAATGTAGCTGACATACTGATTGTGGTCCACTGGTTAAAAAACTTGTCAACAAACTGTGTGTAAATTTAGTCTAAAGCATATAAAAATATTTCCATTGAAGGTGTCAGGTAAACTATGGCAAATCTCGCAACATAGTTGAGTTAGTTAAAGGGTTAGTTCACCCAAAAATGAAAATTCTGTCATTAATTACTCACCCTCGTGTTGTTCCAAACCCGTAAGACCTTCGTTCATTTTCGGAACACAATTTAAGATATTTTTGATTAAATCTGAGGGCTCTCTGACCCTCCCATAGACAGCAAGGTAACTACCACGTTCAAGGTCCAGAAAAGTACCAAGATGATCGACAAAGTAGTCCGTGTGAACTAACCCTTTAAGTACAAGCTCATTCTTCTTCTGCTTAATAGCAACAGCAGCAGCAGTAGTAGTAGTAGTAGTAGTAGTAGTAATAATAACATGCCTTTATGTTTTAATTAATTAATGTGGGAAAGCATATTGTATCACTTTTATCATTTATACTGTTCTGTTCTATTCTATTCTATTCATCTGTCAATATTTGGAAGTGTGTAATTTGATGACATGAATTTCTCTTTATTTAAAATGAAAATGAGAATTTTATGCTGTATTTTATGCTGTCATTGTAGCATTTTTCAGGTTTTTATTTTTTTTTATTTTTTTTTCAAGGAGAGGAGAAGGGGCGCTGCTTTACAATAGAGTATGTGATGCCCATGAACGTTCAAATGACGTCAGAGTCTACGGCCAGCGTTCTGAGTGAGTGAAAGTCTCCTAAATTTTATGTAAAAATGGCTCTTTTGAAATAAAAATGCATCTTTCTAAATGTTGTTTAGTCACTGGCCACTACAGCACTAACAAAAATAATTGATTCTACAATAGTGGATTTTTTTAAAACCTTGGAACAACCTCAGAAACAAACTACTTTAACAACTGAGCACAAGTGTAATCCCTAGAAGACCCAAATATAGAAGAAACCTGTGAAAAAATTATTTAACCTTTTAAATGTTGTTGTAGGAGGCCTCTAATACATAAATATGTGTTTTTAAATTTTTTACATTTTAGTCAGTTTTTAGTGAAATGTTGTAATATTGCAACTTTGGGCTCTTTGGGTAGCAGAATTTCAGTGATTTTACTCACTGTCTGAACAAATGTAGAGAACATCTAAAGGTTCATTTACTGGGTGAAATGCTTCTGTAACCCCATTACAATAGTCTATATATGTATACACACTAATAATCACACAATAATGATAAAATAAGTCATATTTTTAATGAAAAAAAAAACATTATAAAAAATGTTCTGATTAAATTTACAAAACCTGATGAACTGAATGAAAGCTTTAAAATATTCTTCATGACTTGACTTTAAAACTTTCTTCTCTTGTATCACAGTCCATCTAAAAGTCACTGTTCTCATTTTGGAGAGCATCAATGATATATCATACACATATGATGAGACTGGAGGCATTCTGAAATGGAAAAGAAAAAAACAATGATTATTTTCCAGCCTAAATTATCAGTGGAAATTTATCACAAACATACTTACACATTTTAAAGAATTCACCCATTCGCAGAATTCACACATTCCACAAAATTCACACAATACTTACTGTCTGATAGCTTATTGTGCCCTTTACTTATCATGCTAAGTACATTTGATAAATGATAAGATACAGATAGTTTAAAATATTGTTACACAAATACTTTCAAATTATTGAAGAAATCATTTATTCTTCAACTTGAACTTATCAATTAATAATTATAAAATCTTGATTGAATCTCAAAATGGTAACAAAAAAGACATTTAAAACTTGTTTATGTTCACAAACAGTATGATTCTTTTAGTATTTTTTCACATGGAACAGATGAGAATTACAATTCATCCATGCAAGGTGTACAGGCAGGTAAATAGGCCTTTTTTTTTTTTTATCTAGCATCCAATAACATTGCAAGGCTGAAGAATAGGACCCATTAGTTGTGTAAATGTGGTCTTTGTTAGGATCATGGACCTGTTTTGTTGGGTTTTGCCCCTGTCTTTGTTCCTGGTTTTCCTTATATGGTCTTTTTCCTGTCCTCGTTTAGTTTAATTATGATTCCTGGCACCTGTGTTTGTTAATTATCCCCAGTATTTAAGTCCTTGCCTTTGCGTTCTGTGTTTGTCGGTTCTACTCGTTATGTTTGTGTATTTCCTGCCATTTCCAGTGTGGATGTATCCTGTGTTCCGTGGATTAAAGACTGTTTTCGTTTATTTGTGCCTCCTGCGTGCTTCCTAAACAGCGAACTGAGACAGAAGAACCGACCAAAACCGTTACCTCCGTGTCTACCCTCCATTTTTGTTTTTCGTTTTTGCCGCCGCGATAGACGAGCCAGTGCAAAGCTGAGCGGAGGATCGCCCCGGACGTGGAGCTCAACCCGTCAGACCAGGTGCAAGAGCCGGTGACAATGCCCGCCACGAGGGAGAAAGCCGTGGACGGTGTGAGTGCCTGCCTCCTCCACTGCTGTCGTCTGGCAGCCCCTCTGCTCACCCTTAGCACACCATCATTACGGTGCGAGCTCCGCGGGTCTGCAATCCTCCAGCATCGCCATGGCTGGAGAATCCCTCACCTCCGCCTCCAGCCTCCAAGGTCCGGACTCTGCCTCGGCCCGTAGACCCAGTGGCTCCACCTCGGCTCCTAGCTCCCTCGCCTCCACCGTCACCCGTCGATCCACCAGCTCCATCGGGCTCCCTTATCCCTCCGGCTCCACCTTGGTCGGGCGTCGACCCGCCATCGCCTCAGGACTCTGCTCCTCCGGCTGCACCTTGTCACTCCATCCCACCGGCTCCGTTGGGCTCCTTCCTCCCACCAGCTCCACCTTGGTCCTCAGTCGCTCCGGCTCCGCCGCGGATCTCTGGATCTCCGCCTCGTTCACCAGAGCCCTTGGCTCCACCCTGGCCCCCCGGATCCTCGGCATCCCCTGGCTCGTTGGCTCTCCGTCTCCACCTCGGGCTCCTCTGCCACCTGCTCCGCTGTTGTTGGTCGGCCCCTTGGAGTCGGCGTCCATTCCTCCTCCATGGCTCCTCCCTCCGTCGGCTCCCCCGTGGGTCGCCATCATGGCTGTGGCCTGGGTCCTGCTTGGCTCCTCCTGCTCCGTATGTCCAGATCCTCATATGTCAGGATCATGGACCTGTTTTGTTGTGTTTTGCCCCTGTCTTTGTTCCTGGTTTTCCTTTTTATATGGTCTTTTTCCTGTCCTCGTTTAGTTTAATTATGATTCCTGGCACCTGTGTTTGTTAGTTATCCCCAGTATTTAAGTCCTTGCCTTTGCATTCTGTGTTTGTCGCTTCTACTCGTTATGTTTGTGTGTTTCCTGGCATTTCCAGTGTGGATGTACCCTGTGTTCCGTGGTTAAAGACTGTTTTCGTTTATTCGTGCCTCCTGCGTGCTTCCTAAACAGCGAACTGTGACAGTCTTAGAGAAAAAAAAGAAAGAAATATGAGCAGCTTTATTTTAGTCACAGTAAGAATGAATCATGTCATGTTGCTGAACAAAAGTATACTTCTTTATAATAAGTTTCAGAGTAAAACTTTTTTCTAATGACTGAATAGATAAAAATAAGAATGAACTAATACAAACTGATAAGTAAATAATAAATAATAATAAAACTGTTCATGTCTGGAAGACTAAGTGTCTACAAGAAATTGGTGAGAAATACTGTGTTTAGCTCTTAAAGTGACAGTTCTCTGAAAGGCCAAATATCTTTTTCAGGCCAGTATGTATGGAGTGAGATTTGTCTCAATAATAATTCACAAAAAAGACACAGTGCACACATGCATAGCCCGATTTACATGCATGAAACCTAATTCACATGCATGAAAAAAATATATATTAAGCTAAAACTGATGTTGTAATATTACAACAGTGGGCCTTACAGGGTTAAAGGGCAATGGAGTGGTTACAATATTAATTTAATTAAATTTAGACAGACATAAGCATTTAGACAGACATGAACATATAAATATTTAGTTAGTTTGTTTGTTTGTTTATTTATTTATTTATATTTTATTTCAGTGTACCCATTTTGCAGTGTATTATGTAATGTAGTTCTTGATTTGCATATGTCATTGCCATTGTGTCAGAGGTCTCTAAATGGTTGAATGATTTTCAGTTTGTCGGAGTAAGAATTGATATCAATAATACCTCATGTTTGTCTAGTCAATTAATCAGTGGCATTTAAACCCTTACATGACCCTCACATGAACACCAAGCCTCACATGTACACTGTGATTTTGTTCTGTATGTGCCCTTTAGGGTCAACAAGAGGGCATTAGAGAATATTACAGATAATAATAATAATAATATTGTATTTAATTTTTTTTTTGTCTGCAGCTACATTAATGGTGAAAGGTTGTAGAAGTATCAGGTATCCATTATAAGTAATTATGTATTTTGGTTTGTTAACAGAAATGATTCGCTCTGCTACTCCTTTCCCACTGGTTAGTCTATTCTTCATGTTCATTGGCTTTGTGCTGAGTAATATTGGACACATCCGCCCTCAACGCACTATTCTGGCTTTCATCTCTGGAATCTTTTTTATCTTGTCAGGTGGGTGTTTGTTTGTTTAAAGCAGTGTTCAGTATATATATATATATATATATATATATATATATATATTTTCTTTTTTAATAAATCTGCAAAAATGTCAACGATTCTGTGTTTTTCTGTCAATATGGGGTGCTGTGTGTACATTAATGAGGAAAAAAAATTAACTTAAATGATTTTAGCAAATGGCTGCAATATAACAAAGAGTGAAAAATTGAAGGGGGTCTGAAAACTTTCCGTACCCACTGTATATATAGGTCTCTCTCTATAGGCAAAGGTTGACCCACCTAATGTTAGTGTAATCAATGGTGTGTCATGTCATGAAATGTTTTTAATAGGCTAAAAATGAAAACTATATTTAACGTGACCACAATTTGATAAAAACATTGTAAGTTAGGCCTATTAACTGTAATGATTTAATTTCTACAGTTATTCAAACAACGAATAGAGAAAGTGAGCAAATAACTTTTTATAGTATCTTTACTTTTTACAGTATCTTTACATTTTACAGTATCCTTATTTTACTTTTTACATTATTTACTGTATCAACAAAGCTTTTTTGAAACTCAGAATCAGTTACGATTGCGTCGCAAAATGATTCACTGTTTCAAAGCACTCCAATCGGATCGAATCATTTGATTCATATCAGGACTTCAAAGCGCATATCTTGAATCATTTGATTCAGATTGGAATGTCTATTCATCCCTGCCTATGCTGAATTATTTTTATCCCCCACTGGGGAGCAGATCACACCCTATATAGTGTTTGTGAATTAGGTATCATACATGTGAATTGGGCTTCGCATGTGTGCATTGTGTCTTTTGCGTGAATTGTTATTGAGACCATAAACACTCCATAAACGTGTCACTACAACTCTTTCCCTCTTTATTTTTCTTTGGCTCATTTTCTCTTTATTTCTGATGCAGGTCTGTCCCTGGTGGTGGGTCTGGTCTTGTATATATCCAGTATTAATGATGAGATGCTAAACAGAACAAAAACAAATGAAGCTTATTTCAGTTATAAATATGGCTGGTCTTTTGCTTTTGCTGCAGTCTCCTTTCTGCTTACTGAGGTAACACTTCCACTTATCTTTGTATATTTGTCTAAATATTAAAGACAGTGGGTCTCGTTCACTGGCTGTGTGAAAAATCTGTGTGCATACATTTTATAATACTTAATTTACCAATACGTTTGAACTAAAAATTATAATTAAGTTCAGTCCAGTTGCCAAACAGGTCATTCCTGGTATTCGGTGCCTTTTGTGTCCCCAGTGAAGATCATATTGAATGTGATTAAAAAAAAAAAAAAACTTTACAGCATTTTAAACCACCAAATATCACAAGGTTATGTATTCCATTTTCATGATAAAACACATACTAATATTGATTTCATTTTTGTTTTCATAAAGAAACATCATTAAAAACCAAACTCAGAACTGCAGTCCAACCACTGTTTTGCTATGTTCACGCTGTCAGCCAAAATCTGATTATTTGTGTATTTAATTGGAATCTGATCTAAATGATTGACTGTCCATACTGTGTATCGTAACTATTCAGATCTGATTTGTGTTCCAATTTTACTTTGGAAAATTGATGACAGATTACAAGTTATACTATTTGAAATGTTATAAGTAGTGTAACTATTTCAATTACTTTATTAAAGTAATGTAACTGATTTGATTACTTTTTTGAATACTTTTCTAAATTTCTAATGTTTTCAACTGTTAATCAAACATGTAAACCAGTCTAGGTTAACCTTACAGTAGTACTCAAAACTGAATACTGTCAGACTTTCGAAATCCTTCATCACTTGAATTAAGATTATAATATTTTAATTTTAAAGAACAGCCACCACAAAATCAGACTTATTTTCAGATCATTCTGAGGTTAAATACAGATTTAAATCATAGCAAGATATAGTTTAATAGCTATGATACTGTTTTTTAAATCAAAAGTAGACAGACATATAGTATATTGATTATATTATCATCTGCTCACTGTCCTTTACTCAGTACTTGCTTGATCGCCAAGCTGTTTTTCATAAGATGCTGGCTTAACATTTAAATTCTGGAAAAGCAAATTCTGGCTTCAAGAAGTAACATTCCTGAAACACGCCATCAGTGATAAAGTATTTTGGCTGTTTCCTGTAAAGTGGAAGCCATTTGTGCTGAAAAATCACAAGGTAGTCCAGCATTTCCTTGGATTAGCCGTGCAATACCACCAGTTTGTTCCCTGTTTTTCTAGGTTCACTGATAGGTCCAAGCTTTTTAGTGCATGCCCCAATGCCAAAAGGCATTTAAGCAACTGAAAATGTACTTAATGATTCCACCCATCCTGGGGCATCCGAATTTACAACATTCCTTCGTTATGTGTACAAATGCCAGTGGGGCTGGTGTATAAAAGAAGACAAGGCACTGAGGAGGTAATAGCTTATGCAAGTACAGTCTTAATTAATCAGAGTCAGACTACTCTGAAATAGGAAGGAATGTTTAGCCATTATTTGTTTATTCTTTTGGAATTAAACAACTATTTTAACCTCTGCAACTGTTCTGGTAAAACCACATTTGTTAGCATACCTTATGCTTTATTTATTTATTTACAATATTTATTTATTTTCGTTCTTTTGCTTCAAATTTCTCTGCACGTGCTGAGGTGCGGAAAGCCCTAGCATGGAGATGGTTTGGGAGTGCTTAATGCAAATTATTTACTATTACAGCATTCTGTCATTTAGAATAATATGAATTCATTTATACTGTAGCCAGGTGATTAAATACTAATTCATATGTGTATGCACCTGCTGTGAATATGGTGGAATTTTTTTCTTGCTAAATTTTCCTATGTGTATAAGTATGAAACATTCACACAGTTAATGGTGAATTAGACCCAGTATCCTAAACACCTAAAAGAAAAAAAAATAATTCATTTCATATGCTCTTCGATCTCTGTCTATTTGTGCCACCACCAGGCAGCAGGTGTAATGTCTGTGTACCTGTTTATGAAGCGGTACACTGCAGAGGAGATGTACAGGCCACATCCAGGTTTCTACCGACCTCGCCTCAGCAACTGTTCTGACTACTCTGGTCAGTTCCTGCATCCAGATGCCTGGGCTCGTGGACGCAGCCCCTCAGACATCTCCAGTGTAGCATCCCTTCAAATGAATTCCAACTACCCTGCGCTCCTCAAGTGTCCTGACTATGATCAGATGTCCTCATCGCCCTGTTGAGATTGCAAATACACAATAGTGAAATCTGAGAATGAGAGATCTAGCTAGTTCTTAAAGATGCTGTACTGGCATGGCTTTGGCACCTGAGATTGTGTTGTGTTTGGGTAGAGGATAAACTTTATTTCCTTGTCTTCGAGAGCCTTCAGTACTAATGCAGTGATTCTGAGTTTAGTACATCAGATGATAGTATCATTTTCTCTGTTATTTGTAGTTTACCACACTGATGTGTAGCTAATAGTACCTCTGCCTTTTTCTTAAAAGTCAGATTTTTTTAGATGAATTTTATTCAAACTGTCAGTTGGTTTTTAATCAAAACTGCAGCTTTAATTGAAAACAGATGCATGTTTTATAGAAAAATAGAGAACTAGAAATTATGGTATAAAATAAGTATTTAAATGATTATATTTATTCATCATGCTTATTAAAGCACATACTCAATGAGAAGACACATGCTAATGTGACTCAACATTAATCTTGTTTCTGCCCTTATGCACTTTAAGAAAGTAACCATAACACAGAATTTAAATATATTGATATTTTATATTATTGTTATGTGTTGTTGTGTCACTGGTGAGACTAGCTGTGGTCTTTTGATTAAGAGGCATTTTGTGTTTGATATGAATGTTAACATTATTGTAGTTTTATTGTTTATGATTGTTTTTTTGTTTTTGTTTGCTAGTGCTTTACATTCTGATCTAATCAGAAGATCAACACATCAGTGATGCAGTGATTTTTACAAGAAAAACATTCTGTTATTATTGATTGTTTCACTGTTTATATATATTGTAGAAAAAATAAATGTAAGGAAAATTCTACGTATGTTTTATAACCAATTTCTCCACTGTATGTATATAATCCATAATATGTTTTTGCTATGATTTGATACAAAATATGTAGAGTAATTACAATTTCCCCGCTTGATAAAATGTTAAAGCAGCAGCATTTTTTTTTTTTTTTTGCCTTATACAGTAGTTGACCTATTGTACTCTTACAGGTTTCAGCATAAATTGTCATCTTGCAAATATCATCAACTGCTAGTTGGATTTGATTGATAATAAAAAGGCAGTCATAAATAAATCTGAAAATAAGAACATAATTTTCTACTCATGCACACTGTTATTTTTCTTATAACTTTTGTATATATTTGGTTAGAAATATGTTAAATATGTATATATGTTAAATACACTTTAAATTGATGTCACACTATATTATTGTGTAGCTACTGCTGTCAGACTCTGTTCCATGTTTTGTCTGTGTCTTGCTCCCCAGGTGTTCCTTTCCCATGTTTAATTTGTCCCAGGTGTTCCCCATGATGGTTCATTGATCCCAGGTGTGTCTCGTCATCCCCTCCTCCTGTGTGTATTTAAAGTGTTCCCAGTCCCTAGTTCTCTGTCCGCTGTTGAACGTCTTCGTGTGAACGTCTTCCTGTGAACGTCTTCCTGTGTTCGTCTCCCTTGGTTCATGCAAATAAAGTCCGGTCAACATATTCTCCAGCGTCTCCTCTTCCCTCGTGTGTGTGTGCACCGTGACAACTGCATTGAAAGTGTGTGTATAATGAAAAATATATTTCATGATTTTAAAACATTACATTACAGAGTATCTAGCAATTCGTCATCAGAAATTAATTTTTGAATTAAAATCTCCCCAAAGCAGTATTGTTGACTTGCTCAGACAACATATTTTTTGAAACCATCAGATTCACCCATGAGGAAGAGCAATGCTTAGCCAAAACTAATAAAGACTAAAGACCCAATACCTTTCCGAGGGTGCCTGGTACTGAATGCTTCAAAAAAAAAGAAACTGAGAAATTTTCAATATTATGCTTTAACCTCAGATGGAAACCGAAATACCAGAAATCTACAGTGTACCCTAATATGCTTTTTTTTTTTTTTTTTAGAAATTGTATGTACATAATGGGTATTTTTTTATTAGTTAGCTCATATAAAACATAAAATGACAATTCTGTCATAGTTTACCTTAAACTGATTAACCATCTTTATTCTGTGGCACTGTGGAAGATATTTTAAAAGTCACTAGTGTACAAATCACATTGGACTCACTGACTTTCATTGTGTGGGCAAAAACTTTACTCTGAACCAATAATTCTGCAAGTGCAAGGTTTTCCTTATCTGACACAACCATTTTACATATTTGAGTCTTCATAATAATGGCAACGATAACATTTAAACTTTTCAACACTTTTTTTTGTGGGCTTCTATGCAAAGCTTTATATCAAACACAGACATGAATATGGACAGTGTTGGGGAGTAACTAGTTACATGTAACGGCGTTATGTAATTTAATTACAAAATAAATGTAACTAATCATACTGGTAAAAAATGTATAGCCTGAATGCACTGTAAGTCGCTTTGGATAAAAGCGTCTGCTAAATGCATGAATTATTAATTATTAATTATTATTAAATTATTATAAATTATTAATCAGTTAGTTTAATTAAATTACAGTTAGGCTACTTATGAAAATGTTAACGATTACAAAGGGGATTGCATTTGAATATTTACACAAATCCACATACAGATTTAATTGATTTCTTTCCCAAATTACACTGACTACTCTGAGAAAAGGCCCTATCATTTCCGCGATGCGGAAAACAGACTGGTTCGTAGAATCCAGTCATAAAAACGGAATTCGTATAGAGTAACGCGGACGGAATATGCCACATTTTGGACTAATAAAGCAAAAGTAGGTCAGTACACTTGAATCAAAACGCGATATGGACTAGTGTCTGTGAATATTAAGCCGTAAAAAGACAATATATGAATCCTGCACGTTTCCACGTGTCTTTGGAAATTAGGCGCGGACTAGCCATCGGGAGAACCGGGACAATTCCCGGTGGCCTGGCAGCAGATTTGGCCCGCTATTTTAATATTATTGTTATATAATTGCCTGCCGAATGAACTAAAGCGATTATTTCCGAATTCGCCATTCGATAATTACATCTCTAATAAATGAATCGGTTTGTCGTGACTGGCAATGCTTCGGCTCGCGCGCTCTCCGCGCCTCGAAGCGCACAGGTGGAGCAGAGAAGCTAAACTACTGTTCAGGGTTTCAAGTGCAGGTCAGTTTCATCTGTAAATGTGCTATTGTTTTGCCTTTGTTTACTTAGTTAAGTATAGCAGCCCATTGCTCATCAGTCATCACTCAAAATACTGTATAAAGGACATAATTCGTATCTATTGTAATGTTACAGTAGTCATTTAGCAGACAAATAACCATATTTTATTATAGGTTTAGTGGGAGCTATGGCAGACAACAACACAACCCTTACGAAAATTAACGATGATTTTACTATAAATCTGGTTACTATTGTCAAACCGGCAGACATGCGGTTTCATTTACTACACATAGGCCTACTGAAGCTTGCAGTGTTTTCAGCCTCTGCTGCCTCAATATATGATGAGTACATGAACACATAAACATAATCTTTAGAACTGCTCTGAGTCACTTCATGAGCATTTTACTTATTTTGAAGTCTGATTTTGTGGTGGTTGTGTTCAAATTTGATCATCTTAATTCAAGTGATGAAGGATTTTGAAAGTCTGAGAGTGTTGAGCACTACTGTAAACCTGCATGGTGTGTTTGAAAATGATTAACAGTCGCAAATAAACATTAATTAGAAATGTAGAAAAGTAATCAAAAAGTAATCAAAAGTAATTAGTTACATTTAATAAAGTAATTGAAAAAGTTACACTACTATTACATTTTAAATAGGGTAACTTGTAATCTGTAACCTATTACATTTCCAAAGTAACCTTCTCAAAACTGAATATGGATGCCAGTTTCAACTGTGTTTATGTTTAAATTAATTTCAGTATAATGTCTTCTTGTAATTGTTATGAGAATATTATGGTTTGAAGCCATAAAATGTTTCACTAATGTTATGTAAGAGGTCTGCAAGTTGATCAAACACTGAATTATCTGACAATCAACTACAATAAATTAACTAACTAAAGTATTAAAGTATTTGCTGCTGTATAACTTTAATAACATAACTTATTTTGTATTAGTGGATGTAAATAACCAACATGCTATTTGTAAACTACGTTATTTGACTATATATAGCCTAGTATGTCCACCACGAAAACATATTTACACCTATTACCACACTGCTGATGTTGGTGGTTTCCCCAGATGTGGGGTGTTAAGAAGTCAGCAAATTTGACTGATGAAGTGTTGCACCATCTAAAAAAAGATTTGAGAACCACTGCTCTAGATATCCGAGCTAGTAATATGGAGAGCGAGGACTCAAGTGCAGAAATAATTATGGGCTTTGTGTAATTCAAGCTGTATTTATTATCATTATACTTTTTTATACACTTTATACTAAAACTAAATGCACAGACAAAAATGTAAATGGTATAAATGTGAAATCTAGTCCAAAAATCAAGGTCCAAGACATTGACTGCTAGTATAAAGAAGATAGTAATTGGATGCGCTATAGATAAAGATATAAAGTAGAATGCAATGTTTTTGTTTTATTTCATAAACCATGTGTCACAAAATCATATATTGGCTCATGTTCTAGAGATACCACATGACCTAATATCTTTATAAAAAAACATTTTTTTTTAAATCTACCTGTACATCTTTTCCACAGTTTATGCCACAATCTGTACCTGTACCTAATATGAACTTCAATGGTGAATGCAATTTTATGCCACTAGGTGGGAGTAAAGGATTATTTGGTCCATGAATCAGGAGCATGTATGTCCATCCTTCCTTTATGCTTTATCTTTTTTTTTTTTGAAGGAAATGTACAACATATTAGTGGCAAAGTTGGCTATCTGCAACTCCTTTGTGCAAGCTCCAGGTAAGACCATGTAATTTTTACAAGCCTGGCTTTACATGTTTTGGGAGTTGTGTGTCGGCACTTATGGACACCAAGCTTCTGGAAGGCTTTTCAAAAGTGTGAAGTATTAAGCAAGCAAATACTGTCACAGTGTTATGTGGATAAACCCTCAGAAAGTTGAAGACTGTTCTGCAATATACACTGAAGTATTGCCTGGTACTGAATGTTTCACATGAAAATGCTGATGCCCATGCTGATTTTTACATAATGTCTACAGATATGCCCATTCCCAGCACGGATCTTATGGCTGGACTGAAATTTTAGATGATTAGTTAACAGTATTATAATTTCTTCTGCTTCCAGATGTCAAAGTCCAGCACAACAAAGTGTGTCTTGATGGTTAGCTTGTTCAACAGAAATTGTGTTGACTGCCATTTGCCATCTGTGATGTTATTTCAGAGTAACTCCATTAAGGCTCTATATGTTGATTTTAGGAAACACTCCTCCATTTCCACACATATATATTTTTTTAATGTACTAAAGGGGGCCAGGAAATTGTCTGCCATAGACCTACACAAACTATTAGGGACACTTGCAGGGGGGACAGCTGATGCTCATGAGGGCATACCTTCATATGTGCATTTTGGATCACAGCACATGTTTGTGAATCACTTCATGTGCATTTGCAGATCAGTTTTGTGGATTTCTAGTGTCAAGACATGGCACACAATTTGGACTCCAGATGACAACTACATTGCACTGACCAATCATAGCAAGTTCAAACTTTAATTTTTGTATTATTTTTTCAACCCCAAATTTCATCTCCCGTGCATCCGCTATCGCTCCATAATTGAAAGAATGTTACTGGCATAGTTGTTAGTTTCTTGGTGTGCACATAAATGATAAGAACATGAGTGTTGATTTTCCTTGTTGCACTCACAGCCTGAATCGTCCATCTATGTGTTGTAAACATGAGAGAGATCTCAATGTTGTGCATGTTGAGAATCAGCTAACCTGAAATGTACAGTAAAGATGTTCTTATATTGTAGCCTAACAACAAGCTCATGAGAAATCAGTGATAATTGCCAGTAGAATTTTATCATTTTAATTTTAACTAAAATTAAATTATGACTGTGTGTAGGGTATAATGACAATGATGCATTTCTGTCAATAGAAATCATCTTCAAGTTCTAGAGGAA